CAGGACTGCATTTTAAGAAAGCATTTAAGAACACAATGAAGTCTGGTCAAGGTCTTAACTGAAAAGTCTTGTTATATGCTTCAATACTTCCTGAATGAAAAATCTAAAAATCACGCTACAAGATGCTCCCCCTTATCAAAATGCCTTCATCACCTTCCCAGTGATCTGTCTGAGAGCTCTCAAAAGTCAAACCAACAAACTGGATGCCCTAGACTAGTTCTTCTAGGAAGCTCTGAAATGAGGTATCCCACCAAATACAGAAGTCTACGCTTGTCTACACTTGTCCATCACCACAGCCTCCCCATTACAAATGGCAAGGTACCTCTGGTTCCCAGTTCCTTTCACCAGCTGAATAATGCCCTAGGAAAAATGGTTTTCTCCACTGACTATCAAGGGAGCCTCCAGTAACTAGCTGAGACATAGATAACTGTTTTGCAAGTACTGAAAGGCAGAAAGTGAATCACACCCTTGATACCTGTCCTGAGCCGAGGACATCTATTCCCAGGGCCAACTGGCATGTGTTAGTTCTGTCCGTTCCAGTTACAGGGAACTGCTCTGAAAACCTACAGACCATGAGGACTGAGGCAGCTAATACTACTGATCCAAACAGCAACATGAGAACAATAATTTTTTTTTTTTTTTTTTTTACAAAGTCCCTAGAAATGATGGATGAGATGAGATTCCCTTCAGTTTCACCTGCAGAATTTTTGTATTATTCCGCCCTGAAGAATGGTACGGATAAAATGCTGGCTAATAACCACTGGGCAAAGAGCAACTGGGTGACCATATTTCAGAGTGAGGGAAGAACGAGTAGGGATGTCAATGCAGTGCCCTGGGGATGCACAGATGCCCTGAACTTTGTGGAGAGCAGAGTTAACTGCCAACCAGTCACAGACCAGGCAACCCCTTCCCACATATCCAGGAAACTGCTAGCCTCCCACATAGTAGTAAAATATACTTGCTATTCTGTACTAAAACAAAGACAGATGTATGTTGCACCACAACACAGGTTACCCTTTCATGATGCTAATTTAAAAGTTTGCCTAACGTTAAGCTGCTACAACAAAGGCCTTTGGGACTATGATAAAAAACGCAACAAAGCTAGGCTCCTGCTACGACTTAGCCTTTTCAGCAAGCCTCCATTTCCACCTGCTACAGAGGAATACACAGACTGAGTTGACTGACTCAGATACCTAAAGTCAGTGAGCATTTATATTTTTGTTATTCTGTTTTTTTACAGCTGGTTTCGTATCAATGTATGTCTGCCTGTCATCCTAGGTTTGGTGTTCTTCCATACTTTTGTCTAACATAATATGAACAGGAGGTGCAAAGAAAAAGAAAAAAAAAAAAAAGAAAAAGAAAAGTTCCATCCTAAGTCTAAGACAAAATGCACCTTCACTGGCAATCCTACAATAATTTACATTGCAAGAGACCTCTGGAGATCATCCAGTTAGAACTCCTGTTCAAAACAGGCCCAACTAGACCAGGCTGCTCAGGGCCTTGTCCAGGCAAGTTTTTACTGTCTCCAAGGACAGAGATTCCACAGCTTCTCTGGGCCGATGGTCCAGTGTCTGACCATCTCCAAGGCGAAATTTTTTCCCCTTCATCAGAATATTTACTTCCACATGTTTCAAGCTTTTCCCATGTTTCAAACTGTGACTGGTTCCATCTTCTCTCCACATTCCCATGAGGACAGTGAAGATAGCGGTAACAAGAACACAGGTTTTTCTTCGTAAGGCTGCACAAATCCAGCTTGCTCAGCCTCTCCTTGCACGTTCTACACACTAGTCCCTAAATCTTCATGGCCTCACTCTGGCTGTCAATGTCCTTCATGTACTGGGTAGCTGAAAACTGGACACAGAACTCCAGATGTGGTCTCCTAAGTGCTGTACAGAGGGAAAAAAGATCACTTCCCTTAACCTGCTGACTACTCTTTTACCAATACAGCCCAGGATGTGGTTGGCCTTTGTTGCCACAAGGGTGCTCTGCTGACAACAGTTCCTGCAAGGCCTTTTCAGAAAAGTTCCTTTCTATCCAAGCTGTACTATCGCATGGGTTCGTCTACCCTAGGATGCAGGACTTTGCGTTTGCCATAGATGGCAGATCAGTACCTGCTGCGTATTACTTGCAGATTAGGGAAGTTTTAACATGACCAGCAGAAATTGCTAAAGTGTTTCATGGGGTTTCCTGGGCTTGAGGGAACAGAAGGGCTCCCCAGAACACAGCCTGTGAAGCTACTACAGGAAATGAAGAACTATAAAGCAGTATTTCTGTCATGGATGTGCATGAAGTGGCTCAGGACGGGAGGAACAAGACAGAAAAAGAGGAAGTCTGACAGCTGCACACAGACACCAGAACTACATTAAAGTAACGTATCTCTAAGTAGTCAATCTCCCAACAAAACCTGTTAACCAATAAATAAAGAAAAAGCTGATGTCTTCTGCAAACAGCCATCTTTATCAAGGATAACAAAATGACCACTTACGCTCTAAATCTTTTCAGTGCCTTCTCACTGAAGCCTCTTGATTCACCAGAGCACATATTCTACAGTCCAATTTTGCTGCTGTGACTGTACACAGTAAGGCAATAACTAGCAGATCCCGGAATTTCTGCACCTAAGAACGTAGCATGTAGAAACAGGAATCAAAGAACTCCAGTTTCTGAAGTTTTAATAAAAGCCATTCTCAACCGTTTTGGTGGAAGAGCACGGTCTCGTTGGGTGTTCTCACCCCACTGAGGGTTTCATGAGCGTTCACAGCCCAAAAATCATGTCAACACTTTGGGGAGAACTCATGTATTTGCTAAACATTCCTCCTAATACAAGGCTACTGAGGTTACATGCAATAGCACTTATTTCTGGTGCTAATGTAAGCATTAGCCTTTCTGCTAGCTGCAATATTGCTGTCTGTGTTGCTGTGTTTTTTAAGAATAGCAATCTTTTTTAACTGCATCTTATTATCTTATATATGCTGGTAGGTAACAGCAGTGGAATTACGCTAGCCTTAGTACAGAAAATTTCCATTTCAATTCAATAATCTTCTGAAATTGGATTCAACTTTTACCAATTTTGCTCGTTAAGTTATCCATTTGTTGTCAGATTTTATCATTCTTAACCTGGTAAAAATATTCAGACCACAGCAGACATACCCTTCACAATGTTATTACCACTAAACGCGAACAAAATTTGATTCAGGACTCCAGTTAACACAAGCAAAGTGCCGATGGGGACAGGAGTTTTGTGCATTACCCTGCAGACAATTTTTGGTAGCGTGCAGAAATCCTTGAAAGAAAGTTTCAGACTGTGGTAGCAAGCTAGGCAAGAGCTGTCTAAATTCTAAGCATTCTTGCCTGTATATGTAGCATGCACACAAAATACAAAGCTAATCAAAAGGGAATTAGAAAAGATTCAGGAGAAAGTATTCTAGTGGGCAAAATGAAAATGAGAAGAGTGACTTGGCAGGGAAAGGAAAATTGAAGCGGAAATGGTGTGTAGGGGGAAGGAAAACAGAGAAGCAGAAAGAACCTAAATGTGAATAAAAGACATTAGATAGGGATGACAAAAAAGAGAGAACCAGAGCAGGTAAATATTACCATTTATACAGCAAAAGAAGCTTGGAAAGATGTTTGTGTGGCCCAAGAGCTATTCTTCCATTCTCAAATACTCAGCAAATAAAGACACACGACTGCCACTGGCTGACATCCTCAGAGGACCACCGACCCAACCGGCATTCCCTGCAGAAGATGGACTCACGACTTAAAAGAGCTGAAACCTCCAGTCCTGTTCCACCTACATGAAGCCATTTATTTACAGCTTGTCTCCGGTAGTCCTTGACAATCACTAGTTTTTCTGTTAAATAAAAATGAAAAGGCATAGCATGTTTGAAAGACCTTCCAATCTGCAAGAACACACTTACATAAAATTTAACGCGAGGCTAATATCTGACCAGGAAACAGACAAAGG